GGTGGGGGTTCCTGGCCCCGACCTCCCTAATCGAGGTTAAGGATTTCAGCTTTTTCTTCCCTCTGTTTTCTCTTTCTCTTGGTACAGTCCTTTACCCAGTGTCCTTTTTCCTTGCAGTAGGCGCACTGGTCTTTCTCTAGTTCGACACACCCTCAATCTCCCTTCCTCTCTACTCTGCTCTCGTCTTCCTTTCTTACTACTGTGGCCAGGATTCTACTCAATTCCTTATTCCGCCTTTTGTCTCTCACTGTCTCTCTATCCTCTGCCTCTCTTCTCTGTCTCTCCTCTTTTTCTTCTGGAGTCTCTCTCTTGTTAAAAATCCTCTCTGCCTCTCTTAAGAGATCCCTAAGACCTTGCCCCTGCAGATTTTCCATTCTCTGGAGCTTACTCCTAATATCAGGAGCTGACTGCCATATGAAAGACATCGAGACACTCACTTCTTGATCGGGGCTATCGGGGTCAAAGGGGGTGTACCTCCGATATGCCTCTTTAAGTCTTTCTAGGAACACAGTGGGTGGCTCGTCAGTTCCCTGCATTACTGATCTTACCTTAGCCAAATTGGTGGGGCGCCTTCCTGCCCCTTGGAGGCCCGCTACAAGCACCTGGCGATAAAGACGTAGGTGTCCCCTACCTTCAGCTGTATTGAAGTCCCAAGCAGGCCTAGTGAGAGGGAAGGCAGCCTCAATCTCATTCGGCAGCTGGGTCGGCCTCCCATCTGCCCCCGGGACGTGCTTCCGGGCTTCCAGGATGACCCTCTGCTTTTCTTCCGTAGTTAGGAGGACCTGTAATAGCTGTTGGCAATCATCCCACGTAGGCTGGTGGGTAAGAAGGATGGATTCTATGAGGGCCGTTAGGGCCTGCGGGTCCTGAGAGAAAGAAGGGTTATGGGTCTTCCAGTTATATAGATCTGAGGCAGAGAAGGGCCAATATTGATGTTGATTTCCTTCCCCTCCTACAAGTCGGAGGGGCAAAATGTGTGAGGAATCTCCCTGCCCTCTCCTCTCTCTGAGTCGACCGGCAATGGGAGAAGGAGCTGCCTCCGGCCCCTCTGCTTGGACATCCTCTGGCACCGCCATAGCAGCCTGCGGAGGAGGGTGGTAGGGAGGGGGATTCTCATTCAACAAATCAGCAGGTCCATTCTCATCAGGGGGCAGGACAGGCTTTTGTCTTACTACTACAGGATACAAGGAAGTGGTGGCAGGGGGGTCTGAGGGAGGGGCAGAAGGGAGAGGAGTTCTTCGTGCGGGACTGAGAAAGGGCGTCACCCAAGATGGAGGTTCAAGGGAGAGGCTTTCCCAGGTGACTATATAGGCCACCTGGTCAGGATGTCCCATCGATCCAGGAGAGAAGATCTTAGCTTTAACCTGCAAAATAACGTCAGAATCAAAAGTTCCGTCCCGAGGCCACCCAACATTGAACATGGGCCATTCGGAGGAACAAAAAGTTATCCATCTATTCTTCTTAATTTCCATTGATTGGTTGTGGGCTCTGCTCTTGACTTCTTTCCAGTGATCTAGGGTCAGGCTCAAAGGGGTGGTTAGTTGCTGTCCCATTTTAGGATTCTCTAGAATTATAAAGAGACAAACAAACAGTATAGATAACAAAAACAGGCAACCACCAGCAAGGTATCGCTTATTGCGACTCTGGAGGAAAGGTGAAAGTATAAAATCAGACGGCGGGCACCCCAGACCATTGGGATGCGGTCGCGACCAACACAAATGCACAAAATACACACAGAAAACAATTCACTCACTCCGCCGAAAAGGGGATTCCACGTCCCTTTTCTAGCTTGGTCGGTTGGCAAGGGGATTCCACGTCCCTTGCCCAGATGAGATTCACGGAGAAAAAGGGGATTCCACGTCCCTTTTCCTGAACCTCTCAGTCCCTGGGGCGTCCCCCAGGGCGACAGGCAGAGCTCCAAGACCGTCGTCTTGCTCTAGCACTGTTCCAAAATACAGACGAGATCTCAGTTCCAAATTCAGATTTTACAGACACTCACACAAACACAGACACAAACGAGACACAGAGACAACACTGAGGTTGGCCGGCCAACTCACCTCCCCAAAGGGAGTGGAGTTGTCCTGGTGGTTCCCTCTGACTGGCTGATCTCAGTGGGACCTCCAAATGTAAGAGTGAGACCACTGAGGACAAGTCAGCCTTTCGGGTTGCAACAGCAAGAGGTTTATTTGATACACAGGTACCTGTGGGCACAGAGTCTCCTCGGAGGACTTGCGCGCCCCAGGTTGGGGTTTGGCAGTTTTTATAGAGCAGAAGCAGGGTACAGAAGCAGAAGAGCGGTTATTGGTTAATTCAAACACACACACAATAATTTCAAAAGCAGAGATATGGAGTAAGAGTCGGGGCTAAGGGGAAGTGGGATTGCTAAATGGGAGGTGACCTCAGAGGCGCAGATGTTTTTCCCTTGATTTCCTGGTATCGGGCCCTCAGGGTGGTCAGGAGTTCTACCCGTAAAACTTGTTTATGGCTTGATCTGTGAAGCTTGACTGGCGCCTGCCCGTCCTGCAGCCTTTTGATAAAGCTGGTCCTGGTTTTTGTCAATTTTAAACATGTGGGCTCATGAGTACTCATGGCGCCTAGTCTTTTTCAAGTCATTCAAAGGCAGACTCAGGCCTAGCACAGGCACTGAAATTAGTACACAAGGAAACTCAACTAGAACTGCATTTTATGTATGTAAAAAGCTGAAGGAAAAAAAATGATCATGTTAAGAAGGGATATGAAAAATATTTTCCTTTTTTAAAAATTTTATTTATTTTTATTTTATGTGTATACGTGTATTGACTGCATGTAGGTAAGTGCACCCATGTCATGCAATGCCCGTGGAGGACAGAAGAGGCTATTGGATCCCCTGGAACTGGAGTTATAGACAGTTGTTAGCTGCCATGTGGGTGCTGGGATTTGAGCCCGGGTCTTCTGCAAGAACAATCAGTGTTCTTAACCTCTGAGCCATCCGTCCAGCCTGAAAGATATTTTATAAAGACCCTATTTGAACTTCTGGAGCTGAAATCTGTGATATGAGATAAAGTAAAAATACACTAGAGCCTCGGCTCTGGTTCACCATTCGAGGCTGGAGACTGTGCCCATAGTTCAGCCAGTTCCTGGTCACCATTCAAGGCTGGAGGGCTTCCCATACCTCTGCCCCAGTTCTGGTTCACCATTTGAGGTTGGGAACTGTGCCCATACCTTCACCCCAGCTCTGGCTTTCCATTTGAGGTTAGAGAATCTGCTCATACTTTGGTGTCATCCCTGGTTTACCATTTGAAGTAACAAGTGCTCTCATACTTTGGCTCAAATTCCTGGTCGATGTTTGAGGTTAGGGGATACACTAAGACATTGGCACCCACCCCAGGTAGCCCTATGAGATCAGGACGTCCATACCAGGTTTTACCCAACTCTTGTTCTTCTCTATAGCTTTTTTAAAAAAAAATATAATACCTGAAGTCAACATAGTAGAACACCTCACCTTGACCTTTCACTAATTTTTTGTTTGTTTTCTTTTTCTCCATATCTTACCTTTCTTTTACTTCTGTCAAAGAACACATAGTTTCCAGTCTCTGTGGATCTGTGACTCAGCCTCCTGGGAGGTGGGATCATTCCATATTATTTGAGTACATACCTTTACCCCTCTCCTGAAACAGACTCTCACATCTCAACCCCCTACAGCTTTTTTCGTTGCTCCTACCATTCTTCCTTCTACATCTATCCCCCACCACGTTCTACCTAGAAAACTAATGCTAATAACTAGTCACGCTGCGGTTTCTTCCTATGGTTTCTTCTTTTTCTTCTCTTCTCATACCCATAGCAACTAATATGCTGCTACACACAGAGCTCTAGTCCTATGAGAGGTGAATGATCAAGAAGGATGGTGCTCAGCTCTGCATTCACACCAAGCGACGTGAGGAACTTCACTCATAGAGTGTCTCTGCTTTGAGTAAAATTCTCTCTAATCCTTTTCACAAGCTCTTGAAATAAGAGATGGGGCAACGTTGAAATAAGGAAGCATTCCCATGGCAATATATTAAAAACATTATTCTATGTTTAAAATTATGAAAGCTATATACTCCTATAAATTTTAAACTTGCCAGTTTGGTCACAGTTTCATACATTTGCCAGAGATGTAATTTCTGCATTACATGTTGTGAATGTGCTTTCAAGATCTTTTCAACAGATCTTTGATTAAGTAAGTACATTCAGTTTGAGATGACTGCAATCATTTGGGAAGAATGCTAAACTGTAGTATATACCTGCCATTTGTCAAAAAAAAAAAAAAAAAGTTCATGCCATCAAGAAAGTAGCTGCACAAACAAATAATACATTCAATATATTGAAAATAACCCAACACAATTTCATTGACAAATCTGGGACTCCATTGTCAATCTAACAAAGAAATCAGAGCTATTTTGCATTAGGAAAAGAAATAATTTTTAAGTCAAATAAATGAATTAATATGTATTTATTTCCTCTTGACAATTTTCTCCTTTTTGGGTTCTAGATGTAAGAAAGAGAAAGCACTTGAGGGAGAACAGGGTCCACCATTTGGATGGTGTCAAACCACGGTTCCTTCGGTGTTTCTCATACACCTTTCCTTGGCTTGCCTTCCAGAGACTCTCTCTTTGGAGTGATATGGTCTTGATTTGATCCTTTGCTTTTGTTCCCTACAACAATGGTCCTGCTAGGACTGGGAATGGTTAGCAAGTACCTTTCCTCCTAAATTGGGAGAGGGTCTAGTGGAAGTGAAGACAGGTAGGGAAACCTTGCAACAGCAGTGTTTCTCATACACCTTTCCTTGGCTTGCCTTCCAGAGACTCTCTCTTTGGAGTGATATGGTCTTGATTTGATCCTTTGCTTTTGTTCCCTACAACAATGGTCCTGCTAGGACTGGGAATGGTTAGCAAGTACCTTTCCTCCTAAATTGGGAGAGGGTCTAGTGGAAGTGAAGACAGGTAGGGAAACCTTGCAACAGCAGACAAGTTCTTAACTAGATTTCCCTTCC